TAGTCTAACCCTATCATTTTACCTATGGGGAAACGAGGCATGGAGGGGTTAAAAGTTCCTTGTCCAAGATTGCACATCAATGACGGAATGAGGAGGGGCATGAACCCACCTCTCTGTTAGGGATGCTCTGTTGGTTAAACTCGTCCTCACTAAACCCCAGGCTCCTCTCTTTCCACCCTCCCAACTTACCTAGGGATGCTCCCTGATGCTGCTCAGCTTTCCCGGAGCACGTGCTACCTCCTATGGGAAGCTTTGTCCTGCCCCTCTCTCTACATTGTTCCCAGACAAACATGAGGTTTCAACAACTCCTCCCTCATTCATCATTTCACCAGTTTCCTCATATTAATAAATGTGAGTGGTCAATTTCATTTATAGTTCCTTTTTGTTTTCAGACCTGAGTTTCAGTTCTGGTTCCATGATGGCATGGCTGCTTGTGTGCAGGTTTTTGGCATGACGGCTTGCCTGCCAGGCCCACCAGCTACTGGCTTTGGAAGGCCCTAACATACATGGCACACAGGTGGTTCCCCAGCCTGCGTCCACGGGTCAGCACCAAGTTACGCAGACTTCTCCACGGGTGCATGGTCATGAGTGAAAAAAAAAGGCCAGTGTGGAGAGGTTGCATGTTCACATGTGTGTGTGTGTGTGAGAGAGAGAGAGAGAGAGAGAGGGAGAGAGAGAAGAGCAGCAGACAAAGAGATAGAGACAGGAAGAGAGGGTGGAGAGGGAATGCTTCCCACACTGCTCTATTTATTCCGTTCAAAGAATGGTCCTTGTTACTCTTCTTCCTTTGGGGGGTTGAATTACTGCATGAAACGATGGTGAACGAAGACAGGAGTAAGGTTTTCTCAGTATATGATTTTGTCAACTCTATCGGTCTCCTGATGTTTTTTTAACATTTCAAAGATGGGCGAAGCCACATCTGGGAAATCACACTGTGGGACAGCTTCTCACCCAGTACAGTCTCCCTGCAGTGCTGGGGAGCTCACTACCTTCCGAGGAAACCTGCCCGTTTTTGCATGGTTCCCATTGCTAGACCTCTCCCTTACACTGAACTGAAGGTTGACTTCCTCTAACATCTAGCAATTAGGCCTGATCCTACTGTCTGGAGTCACACAGCCCCCCCCCTTTTTTTTTAATGATTTTATTTATTTATTTGAGAGAGAGAGAGAGAACGAGCATGAGAGGAGAGAGATCAGCGGGAGAAGCAGACTCCCTGCTGAGCAGGGAGTCCGATGTGGGACTCGATCCCAGGACTCCAGGATCACGACCTGAGCAAAAGGCAGTCGCTTAACCAACTGAGCCACCCAGGCGCCCCCACACAGCCCCTCTTTCATACAGTTGCTTCAAATATTTGGAGAGCCACCATGTGGGAGAAGGACGGGCAATCTTAAAGAGGGACAAACAAAAGCAGGAGTCTTGTTTCTTCTCTCATGTCTTCTGCACAGCCTCCTAGTAATGAAAATAACAACAACAAAATAGCAATAAAGAGCTAGCATTCAGGGACTGGTGATTTTGTGTGAGCCACGGTTCTAAGTGCTTTGCAGCTTACAGAATCATTCAATCCTCACTCAAACCTTAGAGCTAGAACCCTTATTAGCCCAATTTTGCAGAGGAAAAACTGAGGCAGAGAGACGTTAAGCAACCTCTCTATGGTCGTGCCACTAGTAAGTAGTGGAGTCGGAACAGAAAACTGGGCAGTCTGATTCCAGAGCTTGGACTTTTAGCTACTGGTCGGTCATCTTTGCTCACCTCTCCTCTTCTCTGTCAAAGTTATTAAGATATAATGCCTGAACTGCGTCTTAAACCAATATGGATTGATAAGTCCGAAGTGAGGGGACTGTTCATCCCTCAGTTGGACACTGTGTGGCTATTAATGCAACCTAAGATCACATGTAATGTGTTTGCAGCAACACACTCTGGGCTCATCCCAAGCTTGTATTAAATTCTAATCACCTGAACCTTTTCTTTCTTTCTTCCTTTTTTTTTTTTAACCAGGTTACCCTATTCTGTGTTTTTGCAATTGACTTTTGAATATAAGAGTGGGATTTGGCAGGGGCGCGTGGGTGGCTCAGTGGGTTAAAGCCTCTGCCTTCAGCTCAGGTCATGATCCCAGGGTCCTGGAATCAAGCCCCGCATCGGGCTCTCTGCTCAGCAGGGAGCCTGCTTCCTCCTCTCTCTCTCTACCTGCCTCTCTGCATACTTGTGATCTCTGTCAAATGAATAAATAAAATCTTAAAAAAAAAAAAAAGAGTGGGATTTGTTGTATATATTCTTGTCAAACCTTTTTCTACAATTCTGTGAAAAATAAAAATGGATTTGCATGTGGACATGGGATATAGTCATTTGGTGGTTTAGAGTGATGATAGGATTGTGGGCTGTATTTCTTTATTTTCAGAATTATTTCTTTTATGGCTGTCATGATCTTATTGTGCAAAAACTGGTAGAGGAAAAAAATGGACTTCTTCATTTTGGCCCATTCTTGCAGCTTGTTAAAAGCTTTATAACACTCTTGAATCCATCTCTCCAGGAGCGGCTGTCCTTCCCAGTTTCGCAGCATATGCAAAAGGCAAGTCTGCCATTATCTTCTTCTAAGTTGCTGGCGGCTCAAGAGTCAATCCCAGAGAGCAGGGATAAAGTGCTACTGCATGCAATTCAGTCTAGAGACTTCTTACATTGAGTTCACGTATGCTCAGTAGCAGTGTGTCTGTTGTTTACAAGACTCTAAGTTGGAGCCCATGGCCAACCATTGCCAACCCATGTCTGGTTCTGAGCTGCTGGTTGTGGATTCTGTTGGGAAGAAACAGGGTCTACCAATGAACATTTCAACAGACAATACTGAAAACCCAATACATCCTGGGCCCTCTGCTAGGTTCTGGGGCTTCACCAATGCATGAGATGTGGTCCTGTCTTCAAGGAATTGCAGTCCAGGGGTCTGCACTTATCTCAGAGGAACTTCCTTGAACCATTAACCTCAGTCATGCAGATGTTAGTAGACAGCCCCAGAGGAAGGGCCTCAGCCTGGTGAACGTCATCTTGAACAAAAGGGACATTTTCTTTCCATGAGCACATCACATTATACCCCATGCCTGAATTGTCTATCCGAAATTCCTCTTCTTCCAAGAAGCCTCTTAATTAAAGGAAGTCTTAATTAAAAAGAAGATCTTTTTTGGGGCGCCTGGGTGGCTCAGTGGATTAAAGCCTCTGCCTTCGGCTCAGGTCATGATCCCAGGTCCTGGGATCGAGCCCCGCATCGGGCTCTCTGCCCACCAGGGAGCCTGCTTCCTCCTTTCTCTCTCTGCCTGCCTCTCTGCCTACTTGTGATCTCTATCTGTCAAATAAGATAAATAAAATCTTAAAAAAAAAAAAAAGAAGATCTTTTTTAAAAAAGATTTTATTTATTTATTGGAGAAAGAGAATGAGAGTAAGCATGAGCAGGAGAGGGTCAGAGGGAGAAGCAGACTCCCCGCTGAGCAGGGAGCCCAATGTGGGGCTTGATCCTGGGACCTCAGGATCATGACCTGAGCTGAAGGCTGTCACTTAACCAACTGAGCCACCTAGGCACCCTAAAAAGAAGATTCCAAAGGGTTGGGGCAGGTGAGGGGGCTCCTCTTCTCCGTGTCATTTCCTTGTTGAAAAACTAAATGGCTCTTCCAGCTTCTGGCCCAAGCCTGACCTCTCAGAGTCCTGATGTTCTGGCCCCAACTGGCTTACTCAGTGTTGGTTCCTCGTTGGTTCCTCCTTGGTCCCTCTCAGGCAGACCAGCATCTGCATTGCCCCAGGGCACTCCATGCTGCCCCCTCCCCCTCATCCTTGCTTGGATTGCTTCCGTCTACCAGCCAAACCTTGCCTGTCTGGTCTCCAAGGCCCCACTTGCGTTCTCCCTCCTCCTGAATACTTCCTTGAGTGCCTCAGCTTTCGCCAACTTCCTTTCTCTGTGGAGAGAGTATTAAAGTCCCTACCACACAGTTCAGCTCTGCTGTGCATATGGTCTTATCTCTCTGATGCTGTTCTATGTAGGTCATCTTATTCCCCAGTGACAGCATGGCAACACTTCTATACCAGGACCCACCCATGGGTGTTATTCCTGCTGCACCCAGCTAGTGTAGACCATGGAGCAGACACATGATAAGCTTGTGCTGGGTTTTTCTTTTTCTTTTTTAAGATTTTATTTATTTGAGAGAGAGAGATCAAGAGAGAGCACAAGCAGGGCGAAGGGCAGAGGGAGAAGCAGACTCCCTGCTGAGCGGGGAACCTGATGTGGACTCGATCCCAGGACTTCGGGATCATGACCTGAGCCAAAGGCAGACAGATGCTTAACTGAGCCACCCAGGTGCCCGTGCTGGGTTTTTCTTGTTGTTGTTATTACTTTCTTCCAGAAAGAGAATTAAAAGCAGTCACATTCTTTATCTTTCCAGTCTTACCCTCATTATGCTTCTCCAGGCGCCTTCTTTCCCTTTTATCCCAGTTTGGACTCTTCACCTTTCCTTGAACATTCTCTCCTCCATCGGGACCTTCCTTAATCCTGCGGTAAACAACAGCCTCGGCTTCATGGTTTGCCGGTGTTGTGCAGCCTTCCCCGTATAGGTTGCAAGCTTTCATGGGGGCTGCACAGCTCTGTCCCCCTGCATGGGGTCCTCCATCAGACCGGAGGCATCAGTAAATGATTATTGTTTTGGTCAGCTCAGGGCTCTCAGCAGCCATGAGCCTGTTTTTCTCCGGGATTCCTATAGGGAAGGGGATGAAATTCACAGGAAATTGAGGCACCAAGCAGGTAAGGAGGGAGCGATCCTCTCTTTCCGTCCTGGTTAGCTGTCCTAACCAATAGTCGTCCTGCACCCAGAGTCCCTTCATCAGGAAACGTTCCCACTCAGCACTGTGGGAATAGAGTCCTGGCTTTGCTCCCGCAACAGACCCACTCTGAGGCTACCCTCTGCCCCACCTCGGCTCACACTTCCAGCAGAATCACACACATCTATAAAAACCTTTTCTTTCATTGGCAGGTGAAGTCTGGAGGAGGATTCTGAGGCTTCCTGTCCTCCATGCCGCTCACCAGAAAAGGAACTGTGAACTGTAAGTAACTGTGCTCGGTGTTTCCATGCTGACTCAATGAGGTTACGGGTTAAGGACCAGCCCTGAACCTGATCTTTAACAGCCATGCATTGTGCAAGAGCGATACCCAACAATGAGCCGGTCAGAACATAAAATACGGTGGACTTCTAATTAGATTAGATCTGAATGTGACAAAGAAGCCCTGAAATATGACATCCTACTTAATTAGACTTTAGTGATTGTGCATTAAGGTGGACTTGACGTGTCAGGTGTGTCCTGAGTGTCGGAGAGGGAAGCTCTTGGGTTTGCAAGGCCAACCCAGCCACTGTCATCTGTGGGTTGAGCGGGGGAGGCAGTGAGCAGAGGAAGTGGGCTCGTTCAGAGCCCACACTTGTTGTTACACCTTGATTTATTTCCAGGGAGGTGTGGGGGAGGGGAAGGGAGACACTGATGGTGGCGTCCTTTACACAGTCCTTTGCACAGTTATGGCCCCACCCTCGGCGTTATGTGTCATTTTGGCCCCCACTCGGTGAAAGCCCACCCACCTGGAGGAACCCAGCCCAAGTCTGGTCTCCTCAACGAACCCTTCTTTGGTAATTCCAGCTAGAAGTGCTCTCTCTCCCTCTCCCTGAGTTTTGCCGTATTCACACGCCAAGGGCCCCTCTGGCCTGCACCTTCCCACGTGCCCCCCAAGTGAGGCTGTGAGCTCCTGGAGGACAGTCTGGGATTCCCATGTCTTTTCTGTCCCCATGGCACCCTCCACCTGGGCTGCGGAGCTTCCCACCCTGCTTCTGGGGCTCCCGGAGGCTGGGCTGCCGCCATGCCTCTGAGAGAACATTGGCTTCCAACCAGTCCGGGGAATTATAAATGATTAACCGTTATCAGCACACATCTTCACCTCTGTGTAAAAATAGATTGACTGTAATGAGTATTTGAATAAATCATAAGAATGGCCGCCATGCGATCGTCTAACATCCTGCCAATGGCTGCCCGGTGAGTGAGCAGGGCGCCGGCCCTCCCGCCTAATGGCCTGCGATTCAGTGCTGGTCGCCTCTGTGATTGACGGGCTACGGCTCCCAGGGCACCTCCTCCGCAGCCCAGGATCTGGAGGGGTTGGAGCCCGGGGGGCCCTGGGGAGGGGGCGGGTGGGGAAGGGTGCCTCCCTCCGTCCTGTTCCGGGAAAGCCTACCTAGGAGATGCAGCTGGAGGCTGGGGGAGCCACAGTGGAAAGGCCTTTGTGAGAATCATGTCTCCTCGCACGGGAGGTTAAAGGGACCTCATAAGTCAAGTCAAGTAGGAGAGAAGCAAGCTGAGCGTGAACCTTAATGAGAGTGGAGAGTGTGGGGGAATAGGTCTGCACATTCCCTCCCTGCCTCCGAGGGCACCCGTGCCTGGCTCTGGGCCACACACACCCTGGGCGAGCTCCCTCACAGGGACGCGCTCTTGGACCCGCACTGAGGAGCAAGGACAAGCAGGCTTCTCTGGGTCCTGGGATTCTGAGGTGGCAAGATTCAAATGCTCTTTCAAGGGAGTGTTTGCCAAGGCTGCCTCAGGCTTGAGCATCCTGCGTTTTGGAGAGGGAGGAAGAGGAGAGGGGGCAGGCTCAGGGGGCCTGGGACCAGGTGAGGAAGGCATAGTCTGAAGTCTCAGAGTGAAGACCAGGGAAGGCTGGACTTGAGAAGGAAACCGAAAACATTCAATTTAATCCCAGAGGTATTCCAGTCACTTCGGCTGTGTAACAAGCCACCCAAAACTCAGTGTCTTCACGTTTATTATGCGCATGTTCTGTGAGTCAGGAATTCAAACAGGGCACCATAGGGACGCCCTGTCCCTGTTCCCCTGGGGCTGAGACCTCAGGTGAGGCAAGTGAAAACTTGGGTGCTGGAATCATCTGAAGGCTCATTCACTTATAATTTGGGGGACTGAAATGAGCTGTTGGCTGAGATGTTAGCTGGGGCTGCCAGGCAGGCCCATGTGACCACTCCCTGTGGCTCAGGCTTCTTCGAAACATGGTGGCTGGATACCAAAGGGGAGCACCCCAAAAGCGAACAAGAGCCAGGTGGGAGCCATATTGCCAAGGTCAAGTAGCATCTCTTCCACCACGTTCTCTTGACTGGGGCAGTTACGAAGGCCTACCTCCCAAGCTGGGGGAGGTTTGGGTCAAAGATCAAGACTTAAGAGGCAATTGGGGCTGTGTTGGGGACTGGGGAAGTCTGGGCAGCCCTTCCTATCTGACCCCACGTCCTCTCCTCTCCTTCCTGCCCTTCGGCCACACACTAGAACCCGTGCCATTAAGGGACCAAGCCCCCTTTCCTTTGTCATTTTCTTGACCCGGATGCGCCTGATTTTTGGAAGAGAATCTGAGTGCCTGAATGCCTTGTGACTTAAGAGGATAGAAACAAAACTCAAGCAACGAATGAGTGGAGACAGAACCAATTCATGTTCCTGAGGGGCTGAGATTAGAGAATGGCTAATGCTGGAAAGGGAGGGAGCAGGTAGGAGAAGGGTAAATGGGCTTGGTTGATAAAAAGGTGTGGGGGTTTGGAAACTTAGGCCCGGAAATGAATGTTTAATCTGGACACATGAAGGAACAGATGAAAACATAAAGCTCATTTGTATTTTCAAGACTCCAACTTGGTGGGGGAGGGGGAAGTTAGGGTTTGAAATCCAAGAGCAAGAGTTTGGGTTCCGACTTAGCACCTTCGTGATCCGGGCCCATCTGCTGGGTCTGCAGATCGCTCACATCCTGAATGCAGATGGGACCGTACGCCTTTCCCAGGACCGCTGTGGGGACCGCCGGGAAGGCAGCCTGTGAGAGCGCTGTAGCCATTCTTGGCACACAATAGCTCCTCCAAATGGTTCAGTCATTCCTCCACCCAGGAAATAAATAAGAAGTGGAGTTGGAAAAGATTGTTTCTCTCCATTGCTCCTGACAAGGGATGGTCAAGGATCTTTCCTTTAACTGTACCCTCCATAAAAGTTCACTCATAAACTATTGATATTTTAATAATACACATTAGCATCTTGCCATTTGACAAATGAATATTGAATGAGCAATAAAGAGGCAAAAGAGTAACCAGGTGCAGGGCTTGCAGAGGGGGAGCTGGGATCTTGCCTTGTTGTCCGAGGGAATGCCCCTTTCCAGGCACCGTGTGACTCACCTCTCTCTCCCCAGTGACCGCTAGGAAACAGCTTTTAAAGAGCGCTCAGACTCCAGCCCAGCCCAGTCCGAGCAGGATTTCTCCTACGGTTTCTTACCCTTGGCCAGAAGGGACTTGGGAGAAGAGAAGAAAAGTCACAGAAGAGCTATAAAAGGCATGGATGTTTTGCCCCCTGCGCAAAACACCTTAGATCTCCCCTCTCCCTCTGCTAAGGGTGCAGACTTCTTCCTGATAACATGTTCTCCCGCTGCATGAAATGAAGGTCTGTGCCCACCAGAAACCAGTCAAATGAGCTTAAGATGTGTAGCCGTGGTGCAGGAGTGGGAGAGCAACTGGCCTCAGGGGGGGGTCCCAAGCAGACCAGGTCTGGCCACTCGCTGCTGACGAAATCCACAGGCAGAGGCAGGCTCTGGTGGGGAAACAAGAAAGGGATTTATTTCAGTGAGGCCAGCAGCGGGCTCACGTCACAAAGACTGTCTCCAAAGTGCTGAAAATACATCCAGGTTTATATAAGGAAAATGTGGGACAAAGGTCGGTGGGTACGTGCAGGTGGGCAGTGAGGGTCAGGTCGATCATTGTTGTGGGCGCAGTCACGTGGGGTCTTGCTGGTGTCAGGACAGTTGTTACTGCTTGACGGGGTAGTCTCGGTGCCCGTCGTGGGATGCTTTGCCCACTGGGTCGTTTGTCTGAGTGAAGAGATAAGCTGGAAAGAAGAACTTAATCAGAAAGTACAGGCTGAGCTTGACACGGAGGTAGTCCTCTTTCGGAAATAACTCAGACTCGTTCCACCTGCCTCTCATCCTGTCTCCTCCAGGTCTTGATGGACACCTATGGTTGGGGTCGGGAGGTGTGTTGAGGTTTATAAGACAGAATTTCCTGCTCCCAGCCCGGCTGCCACAGCCTCCCGTTTCTCGTGGCCTCCATCTGGGCGAGGAGTCCTTGAGTGTGCAGAGAACAGTGACAGGGGCTCTTCGTTGGTCCGGCTTAATTGGTGTGATTTAATGGCGTTTCTGGCGGATTCAGATTTATACGGCTTTCTGAGCTGCAAATCTGCTTTCTAAATGTAGAATTTTTGTGGAGTGGTTAAAAAATAATGGCTGTTCTGTGATTCCTGCCTCCAGAGCTAGGAGATTGCAATTTACATTATGCAAATAGACATTATGCAATCAAGGCACTTTAGCAGGAATCTGGCGGCCGCCTGGCCGCTGATGAGATGCCGAGGTCTGCAGCCCCAACTGGAGGGGCTCTGCCAGAGCGGAGATGAAGTGGGGAGCGGGTGGGGCCGGCGGGGAGGACTCAGAGCCTGTTCCTCTGGCCCAAGGAAGCAAAGTGGAGCCTGCCCAGAGATGAATGCATCCGGGGAGCTGCCAAAGCGACTCTCTCAATTAATGACTTTGTTTAATCATACCCCCTGTCCAGAGGAGTATTGTCTTACGGATAATTTCGTTTGCCTAACGAGATTTTGCTAATTAAATCTCCTTTCAGTTGGTGTGACTATGCCTGCAGGAGAGGGGGCTATTTGAAGTCGTCTCCATAAACCTTTCTGGAGAGGAGCTGAGAAGGAGGGAAAGAAGGGAGGGGGAGAAGAGAAAGGAGGGGAGGGAGAACCTGGCCTGCTGTGAGCCGGACTGGAGAAGGTTTGAGGGTTTGAGAACGACAAGGTGGTGGCCACCACCCACCTTGCCTTTCGGTCCTGTTTACTAGATATGTAGGCTTATAAATCTTTGTCTGGCCTAAGGGATTTAGGCCGCCATTTTTACTTCCTCTGTGGCTCCTGTGACCTCCACCATTATCCCTTCTCAAGTTCTTCCCAGATCCCCAGGACACTGTAAAGGATTTCCAAGCATGGCTCTCAGTAGT